CACACTAACAATGCTTGTCTTGAGAGAACCCACTCTACCAAGGGTCGGTTGATTGCAAATGTGGAAAATGGGTGAAAAGAAAATGTTCTATAGGGAATTAAATTGCTTAAAAATTGTTTTACTGGGAATTGTAATTAATTGTGTTTGATTTATATAATTTTCCACCTGAAAAATGTTGAAAATTTGGTGTCCGTTTGCCTTCATTTTTTTATGGAAATTGTCCTCATAATTTTTTCTACCATTGGGTCTAGAATTTGTTCCAATTGTAAAAAAAAAAAATTAATTTAAAAAAATTATCATGCCAAATACCATTCGTTTGGTTTTATTTTGCATGAAAATTGTCAATAAAAGTAATAATTTTTTTTTACCATTGTGGTTAGAATGTTTTCCAATTGCCAAGAAAAAAAATGCTGGAATCAATTTCCACCAATTGGTTTTCCACAAAACCAAAGAAAATGTGAGCATGTGAGTCAAACCAAGAAAGTTTTTCCATGAGAAAAAAGTGTATCAAATCGGGCAAAAGTGGAAATTGGAATTTGTTTTCCATTTTCCATGAAAAATAATTGTCTATTAAACAGGCCCTAAGATGTTGTTCTGCAATGAAAGCGGAGGTGGTTTAGCCCAAAGTCTAGTTTGCACTCGATTTTCAAATCAAAGAATTAATCTAGACTAAGATAAGAACTTTTTTTTTCTTTTAAGCTTAAAGAGAACAAGTGTTGTTCGATATAAAACTTCCCTCTAGAGATTTTCTAACTAAAAAATATACGAGAAGCATGAAACATATATTTTCTCTATGAAAGCTGAAGTTGCTAGAGTAAGGAAATTATAAAATCAGAGCAATTTTTTTGGTGAATCGCATGTTCCAATGTCAAGACACGGCAAAATGTTTTGACAAAGATATCTAACTCTAGGTTCCTTGTGCGATTTTCTTCTAAAAGGCGCCTTTTCTCTTTAAAAATATTGTGCAAATCAAGAATCAAAGAGAAGAACGAGAAGAATATTTTTCAATGAATGCTTCATGTGGTGCTTGGATTTTTTCTTGAACTTGTCTTACCCTAAATATAATTCATGGACCAACCAAGTTTTTCACACGCTGAGTTGCACGAAATTAACTGTCATGCGAACAATTCAATCTACCAACTTGTCATTTTCGTTAGTTGAAAGGGCGTAGACAAATGGAGGGATTAACGGGATACGCGTAATTTTCCCCCAAAAAAATGAGAGTTATACTTCATTACTTATTAGCAAAAGCTTTGAAGACTTTTAAACATAATGAGAAACTTAACAAAAAGAAATCCTAGTTCAAGCATACGTTTGTTGTATGGCATTGGATGCAAATTTGGCGATAATTCGATGAGCGGCTTGTGATGGATAGACGAAATCCCAAAAAATGTATTGGTCTCTATTGGTACATGGGATTTGAAGCGGAAGGCATACTATTTCCAAACCAATTTTTCTGAGGCGACAACAACCTTTGTCAATGACCGTTAACCCTACAACAAGATCCATTCCATGTATCGAATTAGCACATATTTTAAAAATCATAATTTTACTATATTAGTACATATTGTGTAAGGAAATCGATATGTGATAAGCTTGTTCTTACCATAAGCAGTAGAGTTGTCACGCAACTCGAAAAGCCATTGAGAAGCAGAGACATGTGAATTTAGAATCTGTGAAGTCTGAAATTAGGTGATAAACGAGAGACTTGAGTTGCGAGTTAAATTTTTCAATAATGTAATTAATTCCAGTTGCACACTGTCTACCTGCACCTTTGAAAAATGGCGTGCAACCAATTGGCGGAACATCTACAATGAAGAACTTCCTTAGACCCCAGCTGTGGAGTTCCTACACAAAATATATAGTAATATTAATTTCCATTTCCATCGTTCCGTACTTAATCTAAGGAATGAGTACGTCGTTGACCTTACCAATATATAACCTTTATACGTCTTTATGAGGATATTGGCATATTCATCTGGACTAAAAAGCAGACTAGAATTGGATAACACAGGCAACAGATAATTGAGATCATAGTCATTAGAACCAATGGCCAGAACTACCAAACCCTTTGCTAAATACTGGCTCATTTCCTCCTCTCCCATTTGATCTCTCAATTGATTCAAGGTGTTTTTGAAGTTCTGAATTTGTTCACTCAAAGAGAACAGACTGCCCTGATCACATTTGCATTTGTATGTGAGATCTTGTATGTAAAAAGTGACATTAATACAAAATAATTTAAGGTGGGCATTACCAGAACACGTCCAGTGTCCTCAAGAATTCCTGCGCCAGATGAAGCATAATTTACTCCAAACAGAATGTGTTTCCCTTTGGTGCTTGGATTAGCATAGGCTGGAAGGAGCGGCAATCCCACAAATTCAACTGATATACATACAATGGAAGAAAGAATGTAAAGAAATTATGTGGGTGGATAGTCTAAAACTCGATGCATATAGTAATTAACGTTGAAGATACATGTGGCTATCTCGAACAGCTTAAGCTTTCTAGATAAAGTGATTTCACATGTATCGGAGAGTTGAAATCTCACGTGCGCACATGCCTGCTTTGATGAGGAAGAAATGAACCCTGCCTACGTGGGGAGGCGTGTTCAAGACAAGAGTTAAATGATATACGTCAATACGTGTAGCCCTCCCTAACGGTTTAAAATGTTTAGATTTAGTAGTTCGATGAGGAAATTTAGTAATATATACCTAAGTAGTCTACTAAGAGCTTCCCATTTGTGCATCTTCCAGTAGGTCCATCGGGGAAATCAATACCATAAGGAAAATAGTTGGCTTTTGTTAATGTCATGCGGAAATTGAGGTTGTTTCCAGGATCACTAGGTGAATCTCCAAACACGCACATTGCTGTAAATTCTTGCTTTGCCATGGCCTCCGTCCATGAGCAACCAATGCAGATTAACAGCAGAATTATATGCTGAAACCATTTAGCCTCCATATTTATTTTTTATATCACTTTTATTCTGTTTCTTTTGCTCAGTTCTACCTTACCCTAGTGTTTATAATGCAACCATCAGAGCAATTACATTAATTATAAGAAATTAATGAAGAGAAGGTGTTCTCAAGGTACTTCCTATTATTCTGTGTGTTCTGGTGAAAAGCCAAGATTCCTGAGTAGCGCATGCGATAGCAAACGATAGCAAATTAATGTAGTGGGAATTATGGCCGCATGCTACAACACAGAGTTATTCAAGCCGAAAACCATTATCATTCAAGATCATAGGTCTGAACTAAACGTTTAAAATTAACAGAAATATACGAGCATTCAATGGAGCATTGTCTACCGAGTAAACCAGAACATGAACTTCAATTTGTATCCTTGATCTATCTGACAAGCCTTTGAAGATAAAACTCTATAATTTATGTTCATGGAAATGCGAGTCTTGATATTGTTAAGTGTGTCAATAGTTCATGTTAGAATAGACGAATGTATACACATTCGTTATGGTTTATGTTCAGATGATTAATGCAAGAGATAAAGAGTGACGTATGTATTTAATGTACAATCTCAATTGATTGTTGGAGATTAGGGACGCGACCAAGTGGCTTGATTCCTCCCTACAAACACTAATAGCACCAACTTAAATTAAGTAGTTGATAATTTGAGCATAGCTTTTGGAGATAAATGTTGTTATAGTAGGCATTGTTACCAAGGGCTATTATTATAATTAGTAGTGTGTGGCTTGCCCAAATAATGGCTCAATTGTTTGTTCTTCCATTAAATTTTTCAAGATGAATCTCTCGCCTGGTCTCTGAGTATTAGCCATTCAACAAGGGGATGGTAAAAATATATTGTTGCCGCTCCGAATCTTTTTATTTTATTTAATTACAAGTATATAAATAAATAAACGGGGCTTTAAATGGAAATATTATAGTGGTAAAGGTGTGTGTATACATAATCGTGCACAATTCAATCTCTCCAAGAATTCCTCCTGTAGCTAAACTACACTTCTCGGGTAGAGGGATTGCCAACAATTCATAAATTAAGTGCTTGTGGCCCTTGGATCAAGAAGGCATCCATTGCTTAAGCACAGCATATTTTCCACCCCATTGCCCTCTCCAAATCAAGTCCAAACAGTTATTGCTACAGGTAAGGTGGCTACGTCTCCCTTCGATTTATATTACTTGTTGGGGTTCAACCCTGTATTAATTGTTAATATCAATGAACAAGGTAAGAGTCAACGCCAAAAATGCCCTTAGAGTCAGACAACGGGTTGTACAGAGAGAGTATGAAACTAAAGTCCTGTAGTTCAATGAAATTCGAAAAACCAAGTCCTGCAGTTTCCTTGACAATGTCGTAGAATTTCAAAAATAAAATGCAGTGTTGCATTTTTTTTAAAGTGAACCTATACGATGAAGGTTGAAGATAGAGACAGAGAGAGAGAGAGACATGAAGAACAGAGCAGTCAAATCATTGTTTAAAAAAGTGCAACACTGCATTTTATTTTTGAAATTCTACAACATTGTCAAGGAAACTGCAGGACTTGGTTTTTCAAATTTCATTGAACTACTCAATAGCTGGAATTGTTGCAGAGGCAGGACTCGAATTCAGTGGAAACCTAATTTTTTTCAAACTAAAAAATAAAAGAAGAACGTTACATAAAAGAAATTTTCTCAAATTGCAGGGTGACCTCGGACGCCACTAGCCTCACTTGGCTCCGCCACTGGCTGGAAAGAATACCAGAAGGACACGTTACGCGGGAACAGATTACCACAATTATCACTTCTAAAGATTCTTTTCTTTTATTCTTCGCAAAAAAGATAAATTGCTCCAAGTGTTCAACACAGTTTAGCTAGAAAAAAATTTGGCTACTAGATAACATTTTACAACCGTTCTACATAATGAAATGTATTAAACGCAAAATTATATCAACCTGCATTCATTTCTTGATGTTTTCATTACAGCATATACCAGCCCGCCTGATGCATTGGTAGGAAGTGAGCTAGCCAGGAAAGTATGATCTCCATCTGCCAGCTCGGCTAATCATCACCAGCCTCCTTGTTGGCTGCTTCACTGAACGAGGCAGCCAGGTATTCAGCAAGGCTTGGTTCAGAAGTTGATTTATTCGAAGCTTCTGATGAAACTTTAGGTTTTTTCATGCTAATGGATTTTGGAAGCGATGATGTCTCAGAATTTGGGTTAACATTTTGACTCTTCCAGATAACAGGGTTCAACTCCTTCCATGGATCTTCAACCATTTCGTGGTTGTAGTACAGATCTGGTCTTAGCTCTGCTGAGACAGGACTATGCAAACTTGCTCCTCTCCTTCCTCTCTGTCCTGAACCAGGACTCATGTTATTATAACCTGATGATCTACCCCTGCTTCTTCCTGCATCGGGATATGGACTCGTTCCACGTCCAGAACCATACGAAGGACTGTTGTTGTACCTTTGACCTCTGCCCCGGCCATAACTGTAATTAGGAGTACCTCCTTGTCCAAAGCCTGGGCTCGTGAAGTTACTGCCTCTTGGCAAATTAGGTGAACTGCTATAGTTAAAAGCACCACTTGGTGCACCCCATGTGCTCTGAGGATTTCTACCCGAAGGACTAGCTGATGGGCTCCCAACAGGACCATAATTGTGATAGGCTCCAGGTGCTTGGAATATTCTCTGACCATGAGAGTTTATAGTTTGATCTTGATACGCTGGGGAGTGAGTCTTATCTGGATGCCTTGGTCCTGTTAAAAGAAATTCGATAAATGTTAACATCATGGTCTGCTTACAGTGCAAGAAATTTCAGGTCTCCATAAAAGATAACATGCCCAAAAATGTTAGGAAGAATAATGGTTGAGTTGTATGCTCTCTAAAAGAGCTGATCATTTCAGAGATGAGAGTACATGCAATGCTGGCAGAGTCATGTTAACATTCCAAGTGGAGCCCATATTAGTGAACCAGACATTACACATTTATGTAGTTAAAGATCTTTTCAAAGGGCCAAGGGGAAGCACCGGCCTTGGCATTTGCTTTAATTCTCACTGTTGTACCCTCTGTTAGCCACTCACACACTATGCTCGGTGAATCAGATTTTGGTTTTGTAAAGTTTTGCCTCTAGCCCTAGTTTACAACACCAAAACTATCAAACACAAAATGGGAGAAAATGAGGAGTAATAATTGATAGTGTTTCTTGAACTTCTTCACACCATGGCTTGCTGATTACCTTATATCTTCACTTCAAAACTTGATTGTCGTTCCATCTAAGAAAGATTTTCAATAATAATATTTCCGACTTACTCCACAAGGTGAATCAAGTTAGTTTACTCTTAATGTTGAAGATAAATGAATAAAGAACTCCTTTTTCTCTCACTATAACAGTCTATGTTTTCAAGCAAGATGATCATTTATTATTTTTTAACCCCGATCCTTCCAAATTCTCCAGAAACCATAAGCATTTCAATTGCACATATGATCACATAAAAAATTTATCCAGTCTACTTCAATTCATGTTTTTTCAGTCTCGTGTACGACATCCTCAGGTCACCCAATCAAAATTCCTGCCTACGACCACTTTTTTGTTTTCAGGTTACCACTTATAATACGTATAAAGGCAATTCAAATAGCAATGAAGCAAAAGGTGTCCTATTAGTCAATGTCAATGAAATTTTATTTTGTTAGCTGCAATGGGGGAAACTATAGCACGAGCACACATTGAAGTAGCAGACGACATTTCAACAACGAAAAGTCGGGAAAAGACATTGATTACAATAAAAACAACAGAACGAGACAAGAAGAAGCCAATTACTTGGAGGCGTGTTGTAATATTGTTGTGGAGCCTGATGAGAGACCTGGCTACTCTTGTTTGCAGAGAATGCTGCCATAGGGTCAGTGTAATAATCGAATCTCGGAGAAGCACAGTTAGCTGGAGTTGCAGTTTCGCCTTCAATCAAAGGATTGGAAAGGCCATGACTGACAATTCCCGAACTCGCAGGAATGTTATCAATCCCTCCTCGACTTGCTTCCATTCGCATCGCTTTCAGCCTTTCCCTTCTTTTCTCAGATTCCTCCATTTTTTATTAACTATAAAAGAAAAATAATTCAGATTTTTGCTGCTAGATGCAGGTAAAATCCAAAGGAAAAACAACCAAGTTCTTTTTAATTAATATGGGCTGACAGGGGCGAAGCCACCTGGGTCTAGTGGGAGCAGTTGCCCCAACTGGGTATTTCACAGATTACACTAGAAGGCCAGCCGGTTCTAAATGCAAGAAGAAAACCACAAGCAAACGACATCAAAAATTCAAGAGAAAACGCTGAAGTTATAGAAAGATTACCAATCAAGAAACAACAATCATTGGGGAAAAAAAACGATGGACCTATAAGATTAGAATCGTATATCGAGGTTGTGCTGAAATTAAATAATTCACAATCAGATCGAGAGCTAAATCAACATATAAACCCCTTCTAATGCTAATAAATCTGAAATCACCTTCCAAGTTTGGTGACCAAGAAGTAGAGTAGAAATACAATGTTAGCCCGCTTGTGTTGTGCCTTGCTCTATCAATATGATAGGCTTTTAATTGGGGTTTAGATAAAGGGGAATTTAGCCCAAATACCTCCTTTTCCATTAAAAAACAATGACAATATGCCCTCCTCTCTTAACGAATTTAACCCTACTAACTATCTCAGGCAAAATTGTCGAGGAAAAATCTTGAAAAGAATACATAAATAAGGTATTTANCATAAATAAGGTGTTTACTTTTACACATTTCAAAAATACCAAAAACATGTTCTAAATTTCAAAAATCAGGTTTCTTTTAAATTTTAATTATGAAATAATAATTATTAAATTAATTTATAATTAATATTTAATTCAACTATAAAATAATTAACCCACCCCCACCTCCACCACCCCTATAACTCCGGGACTATTCCGGCGACCGTTCCGGTCACCACTCTTTTCCGACGACCGTTCCGATGACTTTTCCGGCGACTGCTCCGATTCCGGCAATTGTTCCAACTCCGGTGAAATTTTTTAGGTTACAATTTGTTTATCGGTCACAACTAAAAAAATTAAAAGTCACAATTTGTTCATCGAACACAAGTCACAAAATTTATATTGTGACCACCAAATTTTACATTTGGGACCACCGAATTTTATGGTCACTGATTATTTCTCTAACGCGAAATAAAATTTTTTATGGTTCACAGATTTAAAAAATCAAATTTTTTGTTGGTCACAACTCTATTACAGTAAGTCACGGACACAAAAATTCAAAATTTTTGTTGGTCACAACTCTATTACAGTGAGTCACAGTCACAATTTCTAGGTCACAGATTTAAAAAAACAATTTTTTTGTTGGTCACAACTCCATTACAATGAGTCACAGTCGCAATTTCTAGTTCACGGACACCCACTCTCAACTATCTCATCCTGCCACGACCACGGCCGTTGCACACAACCAACAACAAAATCGTCGTCACCAAGTCACAGGTAACCACCGCAGCACCACCGCTTCACAGCGCACAGATAACCAAATAATAAGTCACAGGCAACCACCGCGGCACCACCACCACCATCGCACCACAACCACCAATCTCACAGTGCCGCCAACATAACCACTGCCTCGCCACCGCACATCACAACCACCACCACCCCATTACAAACACCACCAAGTCGAAATCAACCACCACCAAGCCGATGCTAACCACCACCAAGCCGAACTCAACCACCACCAAGCCGAAATCAACCACCAAGGCTGACAGAAATTAAGTGGAGAACTAGATCCAACCACCACCAAGGCGACAGAAATTAAGCGGGGAACTAGATCCAACCACCACCAAGCAGAAATCAACCACCACCAAGCCGAAATCAACCACCAAGGCCGACATAAATTAATCGGAGAACTAGATCCAACCACCACCAAGCCGAAAACAACCACCACCAAGTCGAAACCAAAATCCAAGGCATGGCGTCGTGGAAAAGATGTCCAGATCTGTTGAGGAGAGAAGAGGGAGAGACAAAGAAACGGTCGCCGTCCCCGTCACCTTCCCAGTCGCCGTCGTGAGGTGGAGTCGTCGTCGCCGTCGCTGTGAAAGAGTGAAGAGAAACGAAGCGGGAAGAGATGCAGTAGAGAAGAGAGGCTGACGGCGG